TGAGCCAGTTTTTCCTACCATGTACCTACTTCATGGATGCATTTTGAACTTTAATATAGGAAGGGGAAGAAGAAGGAGATGAGGAAAATGATCCAGACTATGACTCGAAGGTGAGCAAAATTAGTGCTGCTTTCTATTACATTTAAGGCAGAGTAAAGTAAAAATTTATGTCTCTGAATATAAAGTTTATTTTTATCCATTAAAGTCTTAAACAAAGCCCACTGAGTGGATAACTTTTTTCTTTCTCAACTTAACCACTGGCATTTTGGATAGTACACATAATTTTGGTGCACCTTTCTTAAGAAAACTACCATTTTGGGTTCTGACTTAGAATTTTTCATAGCTTCTAAGCTAGATCCTAGAATTTCGTTTCAATGGCATGTTATCTTGGGCACTTACATCCTTTAAGTATTAGGGGAAAAAAAACTTTTGTCTTGTGTTCTTAGACATTTTCTCCCCAGAAAAGAGCTTAGAAACAAAGGTCAGGTTTTAAAAGATAAGAATGTGGGAGGGCTCATAACTGGAGAAAGGAGCATTGCTTATTAGATTCTGTGAGCCCACCTCTATGCATTGGTCTGGTGAGGTCTGAGGATTTGTCATGACAGAGTTAGTAAAAGGCCTTTATTTTCCATGGTAAATTATCAGGATTTACTTGAAATTTTGGGTTTCACTTTAGTGCATTCATTTATTTGCTAAATGCTATTAAGTTAAATAGGTTAAAGTATCTTCTTTAACTAGTTTAAAGTATCTTCTAGATACTTAACAGAGGGTAATTTAAAATCAACATAAACATTCTGACTCATACTCTTAACAAGTATGACTTATTATAGATGGAGTAGTATTTTAGAATAACTATTGTATAAAAAGGCAAAAGTAATGGATACTGTGACTAACAAGTTGCTTGGTAATTATTTTGCATTTTCGAAAATTACGGTTTACTCTCTATGGAGTTAATTCTACAGTGTAAAATTCAGGATTTATTATTTCAGTGACTTGCTAGTATTTGAATAAATAATTTGTCATTATTTTCCTATACCATCTGACAAAATTTGTGACAGAACAGTAAGATGCTATAATTGAGGTAGTTATTACTATTGAAAAATTCACTGAAGCGGGCAGAAGATAGATTGACTTGTTGTTTTCCTTTAACAGAAGGATCAAAACCCAGCAGAATGCAAGCAGCAGTGAAGCAGGATGTATGTGGCCTTGAGGATAACCTGCACTGTAATAGCCTAAACACAACTATTATTTACTTACAGCCTTATGTTTTTGTATTTTCTTGGTAGACGTAGTAATTTTTTTTTAAAGGAAAGCAGCTGATATTTTGAAGACCAATTTGTTCTACGTAGCATTTTTAACTAGTTTTTTCTTCCAGATATGTTGAATGCACAAATATTTTCAAGCATGTTCATTCATTGCTACGCAGTTTGGTTCTTCTGGAATATTTTTATCATGTAGCTATTCAAATACAGTTATGAAAATTAACAACTGTTACATGAAATACATTTTTTATTTTTGCCAGTTTTTTTTTCCTGGAGAACCAAAGTATTTTTTCAGCTGATAGTTGAATGGATTTAAGTCTGCTTGCATCAGTTGTGCCTTTCATTACTTTGTTACAGAAATGCAATGACTTACACTAAAATAAGTCATGATTTTAAAAAATTTTGGCAAGATAACTGTATGGTTAAGAATTTCCAGTAAGACCACACTTGATAACTGTAAGATTTTAGTGGATATTTTTATTAAAGGTGACATAGTTAACTGTAAAGAAGTCTTATTCGTATACTTATTGGTTACCACAGGGAAGTGAATAAAATGTAGGACTTTCAGCAGCTAGCCTGACATTATTTAACTGTACTTTTAAATTTAACCTCCATTAACTAAGCATCTTTTCTTTGTGGTAGGGTCTGCCTTCTGCTTCCCTGGAAAGGATGAATTAACATCATTTGACAAGCCTATTTCAAGTTTTTTTTGTTGTTGTTGTTGTCGTTTGTTTGTTTGCTTGCTTGTTTTATTTTTGCAGCCTAAAATAAAAATATCAAATACAATTTTAGTTCTCATAAGACAATGTCTTAATTTTGTACTAATTCAGGTAGGAGCAGAGGCCTAGCTTGGATTATGTCTTGTACATAGTTTACCGTTATTGAAGAAAAGGGTGCCAGCTTTGGAACAGGTAATACATCTAATAAGCAGGTGTTTTTAGAAAATAAATGATGTGAACCCTTTTAAACAAAAAATTAAGAGGTTAAATTTTATTTTCTTTGGGTAAAACTATAGAGAAAGGCCCCAAGCCTTTATGGTTTATTCTGATTCTTACTGCTTAAAGTATGTCAATTACCCATACTTCTGTTTTACTATTGTATTAAAATGGGTAGTACTGTTTACTTAACTACCTCACAGATATGTTAAGGCATATTAAGTTAAATTTCATGAAGTGTTTCTCAGTCTCATTAAATTAAGCTCAAAAATTGGACCTACTTGTACCACAAGTGTGATGTTCAGCATCTTAACTCACACCAGTCTTTGTGTAATTAAACTGGAAAAACAAAGGTTAAGTACCTCTATTTTGGATGTGGGTAGGCAATACTCTTTTTAGAGCTTTGTATGGCTCCTATTTTAATAGAAGTGAGTGGATAAACTATTTTCCAAAGTTCCAAGGATTTTTTTCAGGTATTTTACATTCCCATATTGTGGTAAATACTTAAAGAAATCATGGGACTGAAGTGGAAATTAAGACCATTTTTGGGACGGGAAATACCATTAAATTAGACTGTAGAGCCACATTTAAAATACCTCAGGCTAATTACTGTTAATTTTGGGGGATGAGCTTTTCTTTTTTTTTTTTTTTTTTTGACAGGGCGGACTGATTGGATAGTAATCACAGGAAGGCCTGCAGTTGTTTCTCAATACAATTACATTGGGTTCATTGTTAGAGGTGATAGCAGTTCCTTGAAAACTTGGTATTAAAGTCTAGGAATGTGAACACGTTTTTATTTGTGTAGTACTATCGACTTCTGAGATTTTAGGTAACTACTGGAAATCCTTAACCACTTACAAGAGTTTCTTATTTTCAAAATGATTTTGGTTGCTTTGATTAGACATTCTGTGCTAATATTTTGTTGTTAACCATAGCTCATCTAAACACAGCTTTTTCTGAACTTTAACATTTTTAATTAAAAGCTAGAATCCCATTTTTAATGAATTTGGAAAATCATTTTTTAAAAATTTCCTTTAGGAAATAGCTATTGCCAAAGCAAAGAGGTAGATAATAGTTTATTTTGTTGCATAATGGGGATGTGGTTTGCAGAGAAATTGTTTTCTTTATAAAGTCAGGGTTGGAGTTTACAAAAGATATCAGTGTTCATCTGTGCCATTTCTCCAGTTCCAAATGGTTCTATTCCATTTTAGAAGTTTGAAATATGTAACTTGAAATGCTTAATAAAATTTGGATTTAATTTTATAAAATGTATTGGTGATATTTTTGTTTGGTTTTGTTTTGTTTTGTTTTAGTAGAGAGCATATAGATACCTAGAGTAGTCTAATCCATGTTTTGGCCGCTATGACTTGTAAATCTATATACTTATAAAAGTAGCTCCCAAGATTGCTAAGTGGAATTTGTTATTTGAAGATTAGAAAGGAATTACATCGTTCCTGATTTATTTTGTCTTTGGGTTAACTGGAAACATTTTTGAGACATTTTATAATTTGTCTTTACATTCTCAGTCTACTAGTCTGTGTGCTGACCTCCTGGAAGTTCTCATTTTTCCCCTCTAGAAAAATCACATATAGTTACCCATAAAGACAAACTTTTAAAACATAGGTTTTAGAACTGTCATTTTATGCTCATATTCAAGTGTAAGTAAGCAGAGAAACCAGTTACACCAGATTGATTAGTTGTATTAAACACGAATGTCTCAAAGTTAAGTCTATGTAATTTAGAATTCTTTAGTTCACTGAAATAGTATTTTTTTAGATCATGGAAATTTATCTTAATTTTATGGAATTGATTTACAGAGTGATAATTAAGAAAAATGGGATTCTACCTCTTTAGCTCATTTAACAACAAATGAAAAGAAGACATTAGCTTTTGTAGAAGTATGCATTCATTTTTCTGTGAATAGGTTAATGATTGTGGTTGGTGTTATAGTAAGGCCCCTGAGGTATCTGAATTAAGTGTTTCTGCTGCTTATAAGACAGTATACATTTGTAGTTTGATCTGAGTTGTAGGCAATTCCTGTTGTAAAATAAAAAATAAAACTTTGAGTTATTGTTAAAACTGTGCCATGCAGAAATATTAAACTAATATTCAAATATTATTTGAATGCTTTGGTTTCAGGGCTTGATTTGAAATTTGAGTCCATTTTTATGGGTTAGTCCTAGAAGAATATTAGTCTTTATATTTTTTGACTATTTCAATCCAGCCAAATGTTATTTTAAATGTATAGTGTAGATTGATAATTCAGAAGAAGCATAAATTCTTTGTAGGAACTTTAGAAATAAAAAGTAATATATGCTAATTTAATATTTTTAATCTTCTGCACTGTATAGATACTTAATAATTGCACTTAGTTTTGTTCTGAAACTGTTCATAATTTAGGTAATTCACTACTTAAAGCACTATCTCTGGTAACTGAAAAGTAAATACAAATGATAATGATAAATAATACTGAAATTAACTTAACAGATGTATACTGGTGATTTCATATACTAGTTTAAAAATCCAGATATTAAAATATAACCTGGATAAAAAGCAAGTTTTTTGACTGATAAAGGATCACTTATGTGATTTTAGAGAAATGGAAACATCCTTGTTGGTGTATGAAGTTATTTCACTTAAGGATAAGTGTTTATCCATAAGAAATCTTATTTGATGTATCCAGTTAATTATATTTTCAAAAAATATGGTGTACTTTGTATCTTGTGTTTGTTCCGTTTGACATCACACTCTACTTACAGGATTTTTCACTTAAAAAATAGGTCACTAAGTGAAATTCTCAAGGAGAAATAGAGCATAACAATTTAGCCATAGTGCTGGCAGGAAGTCATCCAGTTATTTAATTTTATATGGAAATTGAGTGTATAAACATCGGCAGATGTCTTAATATGATTTGACTTTTATTATTTTGAAACTCAGAAATGTTGCTTAAGATTCAAGCATTCATTGCTTTATTGTTTCTCTCGTGTTACACCTTATAACTGGGAAGAAGGACGTAGGAATAAGTGATCAAACATGAGAGGGCCCGAAGTCAACAGCTCTCATATTACAAGTTAATGGTTTTTCATAATTTTGTCATTTATAATAAAGCTAGGCAGTTGTAGCTCTGATAAACTTCATAGGGTTGTAAAATAGTTTCTGCCAGAATACCTGGAACTTGTATGAGAGCAGTTAGCAGGGGGTCAGATGGTGGTGAAGTGGTAGTACAGCTGGACCCACATGGAGGAGGTCCTGGGTCCCTTCTTTGGGGTGCCCATCTTTCTCACTGAAGAAATAATAGCTTTAAGAGAAAAAGATTGTTTGCTGGGCCTTACCCAGGTAGGTACTGACTCTGATAGGATGTAACCTCTGATATTGGGGGAATAGGGGACCATTTAGCTAAAATTTCAAGGATAAATAAGCAGGAATTTGAGAAGTGTAAGAACGAGCCTCTGTGCGCTGGACAGCTTAAGTGTATTCACAGCAGGAAAATCAGATAAAGATTCTGAAAAGGAACAATCAATCCATTGCACATTCAAGGAATTGAAATAAATGGAAATATGAGGGATCAGTCCGTGGAAGGTTAGCTATGAAAGTCTCTTAAAAAAAGGTTTAAAACACTGTAAGACATCTCTTTAGAGTATTTCAAGTGAGGTGACTTTTTTGTAGGTTTTTTTTTTTTTTTTTTTTGCGGGGGTTTTGCTTTGGGGCGCACATTCAAGGAATTGAAATAAATGGAAATATGAGGGATCAGTCCGTGGAAGGTTAGCTATGAAAGTCTCTTAAAAAAAGGTTTAAAACACTGTAAGACATCTCTTTAGAGTATTTCAAGTGAGGTGACTTTTTTGTAGGTTTTTTTTTTTTTTTTTTTTGCGAGGTTTTTGCTGTGGGGCGCATGTGCTCGCCAGAAAGACAGAGAGCGAGAAATCACCCCCTCATCCCCCCCGGGGGGGATGGCCACATCGCAGTCACTTCTCCATTCTCCTCTTGGGATCTTGGGCACTCATGCACCCAGCGTGAGTTTAAGCCACCAGGTCTGGGACTTGAACCATGGTCGATTACGTGGGAGTCCAGCAACATAGCCATTATGCTAACTGCTGGTCCCATCTGTAGGATAATTTTTAAACTAAAACGTAATGCTGAGCAAGCCATTTGAAGGTAAGAACATTTGAAGTAGTCCTGTAGCCAGTTAGAGTATAGTCCCCAGGATCACATATAATGGCCGGAGTTGGGGGTGAGATAGTGAACAAGATGGAATTAGTGTGTTAATGTTTTTCTACTTAACCGAGAGCAGAACTAGTCAAACTTTGCTTTAAATAACAGTATTCAAATTTACCTGCAGTAGAATTTCCTTAGCCAAATTTCAGATTAGTGTTTTGGGGTAGCATTTATCGGTACTACAGTTTTCATCTACTCCTGAGATTATTTTAGAGAGATGTTTGTGCTTGCCAGAAAGAAACGGCGTGAATTTCAGATTAGTGTTTTGGGGTGGCATTTATTGATGTTGCAATTTTCATTTAATTCTGAGATTATTTTAGAGAGATGTTTGCTATAGGGTATATGTGCTCGCCAGAGGGGATGACCACACAGCTATCCCTTCTCCGCATTCCTCTCTGGGCTTTGGACACACACGTGCTCAGTCTGAGTTTTAAGCCCCTAGGTTCAATACTTGAACGGTAGTCAACTACATGGGAGTCCAGTGACATAACCATTATGTGATCTGCTGGTCCCACCATCAAGTTTTAATGGGATATGTATGAGAATATGTTCAAACATTGGGTAATATTGTTAAACACAAGCCTTGGGGTCTGTCTATCACCTATATTTGTTCAGCATATCTTTGGTGTGTTTTGTTTTTTTCCTTCAGTTTTCATGTGAGGATGTGTGCACTTGCTGTGCACACAGCATGAGAATGAGTGAGGGAGACTGAGAAAGCACCATACCCATGAGGAATGGTCATTCTGCAGTCTCCATTTCCCCATCCTTTAAAAATTTTGGACATGCATGCACATGAACCCAGCTTGCTTTTCAAGCCCCCAAGTTTGTTACTTGATTAGCATGGTTGGCCATGTGGGTTCCAACCACCTTAACCGCAATGCCACGCTGGCCAAGCATCTGAAGTTTTCACCTGTATCGTGAAAGATGGTGAGAATGAGAATACGTAAAAGTACTTAAAGCCTGATGTATTCATAATAACCATTTAACAAGTGTGCCTTCTAAACATAAGCAAAACTAAAATTTATGGTTGGTATTGCTGGTTTTTGTTTTCTTTGCTGTAGGGAGCATGCATTCATCAGAGAAGAGAAAGTAGATGGCCACACCGTAGCCTTTCTCTATTCTGTTGAGATTTTGGTCACACAGGCACACATGCCCAGGTGTTTTAAAAGCAGGCAAGGCTGGGACTCAAATTGTGCAGCCAACCATGTTGGATTCAGCTGCCTTAACCACACCACTAGCTGGTCCCTGGGATCACTTTTTAAGTTGGTTTTGGCAGTTAGTGTCAGTTTTCTGAAGGCAAGATATCTCTAAGAGGTACCTTACTTTTGTATACATGACGAATTAAGAATGGATAATGTATTTAAACTTGCATCTCAATTTTGAGAAGTTTTTTTTTTTTTTATGTCTCTATTTAATAAATAGAAAAAAAAAAAACACTACTTTTAAAATTAACTGGGTCTACAGCCAGTCCTGTAGCCTAGTGTTTTAGGAAGTCTCCTGGCTGACTCTGCAGGTCAAATCCATGTCACTTGCTTTGGCACATATATGCATTTCCCAGATCCCAAAAGCGTAGAAATAGGATTGCACCATGGCCATTAATCATTTGGTGCTGTTTCTAGTAAGCTCATATGCCTCTGGCAAGTTGGAGGGAGAATAAAACAAACTAGAGTTTTGTTTGTTGGTTTGGTTTTGGTTTTATTTGTTTATTTTTTTTTTTAGGTCTTCAGAAGGGAACTTGGGTTTCTCAAGCCACCAGGGTGAGGATTTGAACTGCTGGCAGCCATGTGAGATTTGGCTCCCTTAAAGCAGGCCACAGGGCCAAACATTAAGTCTTAAAAAATAGCCTTTTTTTTTTTTTTTTTTTTGACTATTACTTTGACATTCTTTTATTTCATATTAATTTGACCAGAGAGGGACAGTGAGAGAAACAGAAAGCAAGCCCACTAAGTCCGAAACTTGAACTGTGGTTGGCCATGTGGCAGTCCAATGCCCCTAACCAATACACCACCTGCCGGCCCAAAAATAGGTGTATTTTTATATACCAGTTT